CGGCATATGCAGGGAAAGGCGTAGCAGCTGTGATAGACGGCACCCAATATCCCGATGTGTATAAAAGCATACCTGGGGAGTAAATGTTCCTGTTATCTATCCAAAGTACTACAGAGGACACCGCACTTTAGAGGACCTCAGAACACAACAAGCAAGGATGTACTTCTCGCCTGCCACATCAGCTTGACATCCCGTTAACAACCTCAAGAAAAAGAGGCAGCTTACTAAAGACACGTCCCTCTTCACAAGCTGTTCCACCACTGATAGACAGGTAAACAAACTGACAGAGGATTTTATATGAAACTGATATGACAGACAGACATACAGATCGACAGAGGTTATTATACCTAGAGGTATGACAGACAAACAGACAGACAGACCTCTCCTCCCTTACACGCTAATCCATTGTCATACCTAAATAAACTCTTGAATCTTTCTTTTCACCAAACTCAAGAATTTACAATAGGGAAAAATTTTTGAAGAACGTCACAGTATTTTATTTACGTCACCCACCGTCCCTCGTAACGATCTTCAAGAGTGAAGTGCTTCTCCATCTGGAGTACTGTCACCCCGTCTTGTCCCCGAGATATGTTAGGGACTGTCAGTTGGTTGAAAATGTTCAAAGGAGGGTCACCAGACTGGTGCCTGATTTCGGTACCTCAGCTACCCTGAGAGATTGGAGCACCTGAACTTGCCTAGCTTATACTACAGACGGGCAAGGGGTGACCTATTTGAGGTGTATAAGCATCTCAAAGGGCATTGCAGGTACTCAGTCGAGTGTCCTTACTTGGAGCTGGCGAACGCTCGCCCCACAAGGAGTCACAGCTCAAGATTGAAGAAGCCGCAAGTCGAGAAAACTGTGAGGGCAAACTTTTTCGGAGTGAGGGTTGTAAACTCTTGGAACAATCTACCAGAGAGTGTTGTGACGGCACCGAGTGTGAGCTCTTTCAAAACAAGACTTGACCAACACTGGAGTAGGTTCAGGTACATTCAGGAGCAGGTGCATGCCCAGTACTTGCCAACAGTGCGTAACAGAGACGTGACCGATCGCCCAAGCGGCTAAAGAGTCGATCACTTGGTGAAGAGGATAAAAGAAAAGGAAAAGTAACAGAGACGTGACCGATCGCCCAAGCAGCTAACGAGCCGATCAGTGGTGAAGAGGATAAAAGAAAAGGTATATGAACGATCTTTGTCTAAATCCTAGTAGTTTATTCTCATAACGGTATTAGGATATTTCGTTCCTTGTCAATATACAGACTAAAAATCTTTTCACATTTGCCCTAAGTTAATGTCGTTTCGTGGTCAGGTCGGGTCATGCGATACTTCTTACTGTTGGTCTACCACGAGCTCAACCTGACAAGATACATATTCTTCTATTTAAGGCTTATTTAGTTCGTAAGTCTATAACTTAAGGTATTATATTATTGCATTTATTTCTATCATTTGAGGTCATTTTCTTCATATTTTAAAGTGATTTATTTGGTATTTCATATTTACCTTAGTTTTTATTGATATTCACTGTAATATATACTTAAACCTTACAATTAAATCTTCATATTGTTTTTAGTTACGTCGTCTAAACATAACTATGGTATTATTAAATATACTTTCTGAATCTTTCCGTCTGTATAACCTATTTAATTTGTACTATGTTGTGCTGTGTAGTACACACGAGCTTTTGGAGGCGATCATAGGCAGAGAATTTTCGCATGTTATCCCTTTAATAGTTTAAATACTTACGTTTTTTGTAACTTACAAATGTATTTGTTTTCTATGAGTGACTCAATATTCAGTGGGTAACTGTACCAAATTGTGTTTTGTGTGTGTGTGTGTGTGTGTGTGTGTGTGTGTGTGTTTATGGGGAACAGCCCACCCGAGCACAGGTCATCGACCCAGAATGGGGCCTTGGGGTGCAAAAACAATAAGGGTAAAAAAATTAGAAGGGGAAAACTATATTAATCTACACCACGAAAATGCAGGAAAACCAACTTTTTGAAGTGAGACAGATTGTATGAATATGGAAACAGAAGAAGGCAGAGAATTCCACAGTTTAGTTGTGTGAGGAAAGAAGGATGTACTATAGCGGACCCATGAGTGAGTAGACAAAGTGGGCATATATCGTTTTTGAGTGAGTTTAACCAATGAGTGTAGAAGGAATGAGAGGAAAGCGCGGCGTTCTTCTGGAGTAGCCGGGTGTACCCTGATTTTTTTTAGTTTAAATTTATTGACAAAGCTTGTAGTACAGTTTGCCTATTCTGAGTAATTCAGTCAGGTCTTGACACTGAGGGTGGTATCACTTCTCACTGCTACGCAGGACAGAGTGGCAGTGAGAAGTGATACCCTGACGAGTTACCAAATACCCTTTATCAGTACGATTTTTACCCCGGGTAAACCCCGTTATCTAGTGCGTAAGAAAGGTACTAAATTAGAAAGCGGCTCAGGAATAACTTTTAATTTATTATTAATACTTACCAAGTTCATGTAATTAGAATATTTGAATTCATTATGTACTATACTGTAGTGGATTTCTCCCCTACAAACGCTGTTTGTCGCTGAGTAGCCGACCCCACCAATTCCCCAGTGTATGCCTCGTGGTCTAGGTCAACCAGCGCCGCCATACATCACGGAGCGGGGGTCAACTACTAAGCCACGCCTACCCCCGCTATTTAAGACCTGACCTCGTGGTGACCTGCCCTGCCCTCTCGTCTCCGCTAGGTGGACAGCCCACCTGCTATCTACCCCTCCCACTTTTCTTCCCGTTTCCATGCTTTACTTCTCTCTCTCTCTCCTCTCCTTTCCCAGTGCAAAGTCATTTGCCACTTTACTTCATTATCATCATCATCATGACCTGCCCTCTTTCTACCTCCACCAACCAGCTAGCAACACCTCCTCCCCCGCTGCCTGGCGGTCCTCGCTCCCGCCGGCGAGCATGGCGACCCACAAGCTGGTCCTCCTCTGAGCATCCTCACCAACCAGCTCTCTCTACATCACGCTTGTAACCATGCTGCCTTCCCAGCACCAAGCTGCATTGCACATCCAATACAACATGTATATAGAGAGCACATCGTGAGTTTCCTTTCTCCATTCCATCCTGAGTGTGAACACAAACATCTGAACCCCACAATACCATATGGCGTGCTGGAAATTAATCAATACAGGCAATGCAATCTCACGTAAATGATTTACATATGTAGATATTGAAGTGTTACTTCACTCCCATATGCATACATAAGTGACTTGTTTACATGATATATAGTGTACTTGTGGAGCAACATTTCATATGGCTGTGTTTTCAGTTATCATTATTAATAATGGCTTCTTTGAGTTCACAATCAAAGTACATAAAGTGAATATCTCGTGTCCCCTTTATACTGACAAATTAGTTTCCTTGCATTACAAAACCATCCCAAAAAAGTATGGGGGAATACATTACAATGGAATTTACGTTAAAAAACAGTAGTATACGAATACTTAGTTTTATTACAAGAAGGCTTGTATATATATATATATATATATATATATATATATATATATATATATATATATATATATATATATATTTTCATGGAAAACGTGGATAAGATAAATTGATAAAAACCAATGTCTATATTTTGAGGTGTATTATATATATATATATATATATATATATAAATATATATATATATATATATATATATATTATATATGACTCACTATATATATCCGCATTACGCCTGCTCTGATGTATGATATATATATATATATATATATATATATAATATTTTATTAAATGATATATATTTCTATACTGAAACGTTTCCGATCCCAGGGTCAGCGTGGGTCAGTAACCACTGGTTACACTCACTCAGTACAGCGCTTAGTTGGTGTTGGGCTATCGTATCCTATACTGATCGCGCTGTGTAACTACTTACGTTATTATCGTATTTAATTGACTTTATAATGACTGGAAAGCGTACAAGTGAGAGTGCTGGTGGTGCTCAGAAGAAAACGAGACAGGCAATTACTTTTGAGATGAAAATGAAGATAATAATGCAATATGAGAATGGTAAAACTGTAGCAACAATCTCACGCGACCTAGGTTTCTCGCACTCGACCATATCCACTATTCTGAAGGACAAGGAACGTATTCGTGATGTAGTGAAAGGAACAACACCTATAAAGGGAACTATAATTTCAAAGAAAAGACAAGGTCCTATTCACGACATGGAAAAATTATTGGTGATATGGATAGAAGACCAAATACAGAAGCGTGTACCCTTAAGCCTTTTTACCTTTCAGGCTAAAGCAAGAAGCCTGTTCCAAAGCCTGAAGGAGCAGGCAGGAGATGAATGTGAGCAAACCTTTACAGCAAGTCGTGGGTGGTTTAACAGATTTAAAAAACGACACAGTTTACACAAAGTTAAGGTGAGTGGAGAGGCAGCTAGTGCTGATGTTGGTGCTGCCGAAGCTTTTTAGGAGGAGTTAGATGATGTGATTGTGGAAGGGAATTATTTGCCTGAGCAAATATTCAATGTGGATGAGACTGGATTATTGTGGAAGCGCATGCCTGAGCGGACATACATCCACAAAGAGGCGAAAACAATGCCAGGATTCAAGTCATTAAAGGACAGAATTACACTTCTGTTGGGGGGGGATTTTTTTTTTCAATTCTATGGTTGTAAAAAACTGCAATAATACCATTCACCCTATTTTGGGCCAAGAATATGAAAGAACATACTCAAAAAGGTCTATGATAAGGGGCAAACTCTCTAATAATACCCATTTGTGGCGTAAATCTTTATCCTACACCCTTCCTCTCATTCTTTAACCCTCATTGAGTTTAACTTTGGACGTTTATAAATCCTCAGAAAATGCAACAAGCTACTGTGTAATTTGAATAATATTATTGCTTAGACTATTTAATACCATAATAAAGGATATATTTCACTTATAACCAACTCCATACTTATTAATCAACAGGTTACGATTGTCTTTTGTTTATGTACACGCCGCTCTCTTCCCTCACATGTATTATAACTTATAAGAGCGGTTTTATCAAGCTGGGAAGCTGCAGTAGGCCTATGTATACGAGGAGTTAAATGTAATTATACTTTGTTTGACCATACTTACATATTGAGTAAATGTTTTAAGGTATTGCCCATATATTAGAAATGAGAATACTGATTAATTGTAGAGTAGTAGTATTAAAGCATCTCTGTAAGAATTGAAGTTTAAGGCAAGAATAATTATATTTATTTTATCCCTTTCGCTACTGATTGGCGTGTGGGTAATTTATTGTAGTGGACATACTTAAGATATAGGGTATTTTATATTTAATGATAAAGTTAATTGGTTAATATATAAGACTAACCCGCCAGGGCTCATAGCGCCGATGCTGCAGTATTATCTCGTTCAGAAAATGACTCAAATTTCACCATATAGTAAGTTCTCTCTGCTTAATATACCGGGAAGTTAGGTAAGGTTAGGTAGGTTTGTTTGGGTTGGTTGGTTAGGTTTGTTTTTCATACCCACAAATGTTAAGTAGCGTTTATTTTAAATATATATATTTTTTTAACATTTAAACAACTACAACAATGTCCACTGTAATATAACAAAGAAAATCCTGCATTTTTATTATTGTTTTCAATCAAATTCGCCCGCGTGTTAGTCCTATATAATTACCGTTAATTTATGAGGAAGCCGCGACTACCAGGAGTTCGATTTCGCTCATTTTCCACACATTATTATCTGTATAGGGTAAACGTTTACTCAAGTGCTGCGAGCGATTTCGCCAGCAAAAACTTTTTTTTGCATGAATTTTGCTGCTTTTTTATTGGAGTTATTTTCTTTATGGGGGAGAAAATCATGTTTTCCTTATTTAACCTAACATAACCTGACCTTTCCCCAGAGTGGGGGGCTTTGCACCCGTTCAACCCCCCTGAGTGGTTATACAATGTTGTCAATATTTAACTTATACTAATTTAACCTAATGTAACGTATTCCCCTATTGAGGAAACGCTATGTTTTCAGAGTTGGGTCATGTATTGTATAGCATGGTAATGCGATTCAGACGACCCGCGCACTATGCTCTCCACCTTCCATGGCTCGCTGACGGTATTATAGTATAAATTATAAAAAAGAAACACTTCCTTAAAAGAGAACACTGTCACTAGCAATTAACTACAAAAATTATGGTGGAAAAGCAGTGTGTTCTTGCTAGAATCGTTGGCAGCAATAATTTACACGTTAACCATTTCGCTTGTTGCCACTAAACGAAATCGAAGTTGAAACTTATGTTTTTCCAATGGTTATGGTAGTGGGTATTTTGCTGTGACCAGCTAAGTTATTAATAATGTTATTTTACGGTGAGTGCGCTCTGATTGGGTAAGTACTTTCTGTTAAATATGACGGGGGTGTCCGCCCTTTGGCTAGGAAGTTAGGTTGGTTTCTTTGGTTGGTGAGTTTAGTTTCTATTAGGTTCTAGTAAATATCACCTCTTTTATAATGATAAGAAAATCTGTGGAAAAATGAACGAAATTGAGCAACTCCTGTGTATAGATACACAACGATTGATTCAATGCGAAATAAATGCCAAATACTGCCAGTCACGGTCAAATATAGTTATCGCATTGTTCGCTAGTAATGGATGATTAACCCAATCAGAGCACACTCAAGGTAAAATAGCATTAGTAGGAACTTAGTCGGTCACTGCAAAATATCCACTACCTTTAAAAAAAATGCACAAACTACGACAGTGTTCTCTGTAGATTACAGTGAAATTGTGGTGGTTATTTCTAAATTAAACCTAACCTAACCTTAGTTGAAATTAAAAAAAAACTGTAGAAGCGGTGTTAGACCTCACCAACTTAACCAAACAAACCTACCTAACCTTACCTAATTTCTTAGCCATGGCTGGTATATTAAACAGAATTTACTATAATATGATGTAATTTTGTGTTTTTTGTGGACACGAGAGCAGCTTTTCCCTTGGTCGTCAGTATTAAGACACTTCTCTTCAATGGCATTTCTGGTCCAAATTATGTATAAATGAGGATTTAAAATTTTATAGAAAAAAACGTCTTTTTTTGGTGTATTGTACAGGGTACACTTTCCTTGGTTTTTATAGCAAATCCATAGATTCTGAGAGAGGGAATGGGGGAAGCTTATCTCAAAAACTAATGATTTGAGCCATAAATGATGTTCTTTTCATATACCTTGTAACAGACCCAGTGGATAATGTTAGAGAAGAGAACTACACCAGCAGACATGAGCTTCATATCGAATGCTGACCGTGGAAGGCTTGTATGGGCCAAGATAGCAGGTAGCAGAGCATGGCCAGGTAATTGTACAGCTCTTATTTTTCTGTACAGTATTGACACTGCACAAGCTCTTGAATTTTCATAAATATTCCATTCGGGGGTGGGTCCCGGATTTTACGAGAGCGGTTCTGTTTTTGGACAAATGGAATTATAGTTACATGAAAAAGTCACAATATAAGCTTGGAAAAAATATAATTTTCGTTAAATACCATTAACAAATAAAGTAATAAAACCAAACACAGTTTATGGTATAATTATAGTACAGTACTGTATACCTGTAGTTGTCAGTTGACAATACTGTACTGTACAGTATGTGACTTCCACAGATTGACAACACAATACAGGTATCCCTTGTTTAACATTCAATCACTTAGTGAGAGTAATATCTCCGTTAGCTGGAATCCCTCAAACCCGGAACTCTCCAATAACCGGAATTGAAATTTTCTCAGAAAATCGCTCCTAAAGCTGAAATTTGACGGAATATTCCGGCCTTGGGTATGAATTTCCGAGGGGCACATTTTCTGGAAAATTTTGATATAATTTTCCCGATACCTGGAAACTTCCGTGGATGGGGGAGTTTTTTCCGGGTTTGAGAGATGGAAATCAGGTGCATTTTCTTGAAATTCTGAGAAAAATTTACGTTACCCGTAAATTTCTGGGTTCAAGAGATAATTTAATGGTCAATTTCTGGAACTTCCGAAACATTTTTTTCCGTTACCTGGAAAATTCCAGGGATGAGGGATTTTTTTCCCGCTTTGAGAGAGTCGTCTCTTTACCCGGAAATCTCTCATTCCCAAGTGGTAATCCTTGTCATGTGATGTTATAAATCCTGTTACTTCACCTCACAATTGCAGGGTGTGTGGGGAGACAGAGACGGCTTCTACCTATGATCACCTATCCTCACTAACCCCCCCCCCCCCAAATCTGGTGTAAATTATGGTAACACTTGTCATGTAAGGTCATAAGTCCTGTCACCTCAGGCTTACAACTTCTCATCTTGGTTGTTCCTTTGAAATATTGTCAAATTGACCGACTAGCTAGAGGCTGTTAGGCAGCTTAATGTAGAGGTAAATTACTTCCTCTTGACATACGTCACTAATCCTGGTACTGTACGCTGATGACAAATGCCCCCATTGACAGCCCTTTCTGGTTAAACATGTACAGTGAGATGGGGTCATGCAGTACCTGATAAGTTTCTGTCTAGGTATTTTACTCTCAAACTATTAACTTGTCCGCCGGGCAAGTGCCGAGCACATGTACAGTACATGAAAAATCACTTGCCTGGCCCCTAGTCTGGTTACGACTGAGCTGCTGGGCACTGCTAATCTGCACAGCTTGATTTTTTCAGATTTCTTAAACCACGGCAATGATTAAAATTTTATGTTGGGCATTCCTGTAAATTTGATTACATGAGCTCTGTAAATGTCATTATTTTTTAACAATAACCCATAAAATAATAACAAAAAATTAATATTCTCTTTAGGTGTTATTGTGAACCATGATGACTGTGGCATGAAAAGACCCTCCCTGAGTAGTGCTTGGGTATTTTGGTTTGCAGACAACAGAGTATCACCGGTAAGTGTTGATATATTTTTCTAGCTCATCATAATCATCATCATCATCATTATAAGGCCAATTTTCCATGCTTGTATGAGTTACCTGTGATTCCTTGTTGGCAGCTTTATGCTACATGGTCTCTTGCTCCCTCTCATCAGTTTCATTTGGGGGTCATATTGTACAATCCCTCCCCATGTTATTCTTGGCCTACCCTAGTTCAAATTCAATCATCCCTTTACCCAGCTGGTTTCCACTCTCTCTACATGCTTGAACCATATCATTCTACACCTATGCAAAACCCACCTATATCCCAATACCCAGCTACCCTCATAGTTCTGCATAGGGTTTCCTATCTTTCAGTGTCACATATATACAGTAGTAACTTCTTGAAAATATTGCTTTTACTGTGTGTCATTACAGGTACCTGTAAGAAAGATAATGGATTTTGCCGAGAATTTTAGAAGTAGTTTTTCCAACACGCAGAGTGGCACATATAAAACAGCAGTTTTGGAATGTCTTCAGGTAAGTACAAAGTACAGTACAGTATGTGTAATACAAGATGAAGTGAAGGGGAAAAGGGTGTAACACCTCATATAATTTGACCATTTTTAGATTATGCTCATTTCATGTTACTTAAGTCTTGAAGATGCAATCTTCTCAATTAGAGCAGCTTTTACCTAATTCGTAGTATGCATACAGGTGGTCCTTGACTTACGAACAGGGTTAAACTTGAAATTTATAGTACAGTGACCCCTCGTTTAACGAACGCCTCGGTTAACGAAATTTCGGTTAACGAACTGCCTTCCATAAGGATCTTCAATTCGGTTAACGAATTTCTTACGAACCGACTTCAACATGTTTTCGCTTTCACTGACCGGGCAACCAGCTTTAGTATCAGTCAGCCAATACATTAATCGGTTCTAGGGCTTAAATTCCTTACTATTTTAGTAAATATCAAGAAGTTATACTATTCAATAATTTTAAAAGTTTAATATTCAATTTTTTTCGTCATTTTAACAATTATTGAACATAATTGAAGGTAAAGTGACTAGTTTAATGCGCGGCATCCAGCCTTTTAACACAGCAAACAGGCGTTAGTCTCTCTCTGTTTTCACTGGAGGTAACATCTTGCTTGAGACTCTCTTCAACTAAATGCTTTTTTTCTGTGTTTCCAAGCAAATTATTGGTCATTTTGAAATTTATTTTACATATTGACAATATATAATGCAGTGCAGTGTTGATTTAAAGAAAATAATCTTGAATTACACCAAGAGAACTAAAATTTTATGGGTGAAATGGCACCATGGGGTGACTTCTCTTCCACCCCAATGCCTTCTCTTCTCCCTTCTCCTCCACCACCATTCTAATTCCCATCATCATCATTATCCAGGAGCCTTCTACATACACACCTCAAAGTAAGTGAACTTTTCTACTATTTTTGTTGAATTTAGGAAATTTTCGGTGAGCTGGAACCAATTACCCAAAACCCATTGAAACAATGGTTTCGGTTAACGACCTTCTCGGTTAACGAACGACCTTCTGGAACGGATTGAGTTCGTTAAACGAGGGGTCACTGTACTGTATATTTTATTTACCTGATGACTTATTTTTTACTTTCATTTACTGTAGTTTGTCATTCTATTTTTACTTATTTTTTCTTAAATTAAGTGATTTAAGATGTATATAAGGACTTAGGATATGATATAGTGGGATTTTAAACATTGTTCTGTAAGTACGGTATGCACATAGCATGTGTTCCCTGACTTACATACAAATCCGACATAAGAAAATCTTCTGGAACGGAACCCGTTCGTAACCCAGGGACCCCCTATATTTGTTTGGGTAGTGCCCAGTCAAGTAGTTTAATACCTCATTTAAGTCTGTTCATTGTTAAAATGACTGTGTGCTGTCTATAAGAAAGGTGTCAGCAGCAACTTAATAATGTGCAGTGAACATGGAAGGTGGCTTCAGTGATGTAAATGGCAGTTTGCAGATGTTCTACAAGGCAATATATTGATTAACATGCACAGGTAATAATGTACCCTTCAGTAAGGCTAGAGAAATTCTACCTTGAGGATGTATCCCTGCATTGTTATCAGTTTGTTCTGCTACCTGGGTGACGTGATCAAGTGCTGCAGTGTGTGCAGAAGCTAGCTGTGGCTGGAGGGTATGCAACTGGCATGAGAAGTGTGATGTAGGGCAGGTGAAGTATAGGTGGTTAAGATGACGACATATGCAGACTTGAGTGAGCTGAAAGGAGAATGTTGAGGTGGATGTGCAATATGACGCTGAAAGATAGGAAACTTTGTTCAGAGCTAAGAGGGTAACTGGGTATTAAAAATATTTGTGAAGGTTTGCTCAGATGTAGGCTGAGTTGGTTTAGGTATATGGAGAGAATGGAGACCAACTGAGTCAAGAGGTGCACTTATAAATGTGGAGAGGAGAGTTGGGGGTAGTCCTAGAATAATAACATGGGGAGAGGTTGTAAGAAATGACATCCGAGTTCAAAACCTGACGATAAAAGATGCAAGAGACTACACAGCATGGAGAGCTGCCATCAGGTAATCAAGGTTAACCCATGTAGACATGGAAAATGACTACAAGATGTTGATGATTTGTGTAGATTTAACATGGTTGGTTGATTGATTTTGTCAGTGCACGACATTGGAAGGGTAGTGTTGGTGGTGTATGGGGAGGGATAGGGAAACAGGTGGTTGCTTATTGCAGGACCATTGTTAGTTTTATACATTGTAGTGTTTAGTGCTTGGATACATTGTGCCATTGTAGTTTTTTGGTGTAACTTTTTATGTTGTAAGTGTAATGTTAATACTGTACATTGTGAAATTTTATTGAAGTTATGGCAATTACCCCCACATATGCACAAAGGAGTTCCCCTACATTTCATTAATATGTTATTTTCAGAAATCTTTAACACAAATATTATAAATCTGGTTTATTTGTAGTTTACTTAATCTTGTACTGTACCTTTCTTAGTCAACAGAGTCATGTGGTTTAGGTTAACATGTAAAATGGGATTTAAGGCTCAATCTTTCAGGTTAACTTTATACAGTGGAGTCTTGATAATTCACTGGTTAGTTACCAAAAGACATGTACAGTAATGTCTCCGTTAGCCGGAATCCTTCAAACCCGGAAATCTCCGATAACCGGAATTGAAATTTACTCGGAAAATCATTCCCAAAGCCGGAATTTTTAAAAAATTTCCGGCTTTGAGAACAAATTTTTTGAGGTTGAAAATCGAGAAAATGTCTTGAATAAAGATGAAATTTCAAATATTTTTTTTTTTGGGGACCTGACCTGACTCAATGTCAGGTGGAGATAGGGTGGGGGGTTAGTGGTCACATATTAGTGACATTCTGATGGAATATCAGGTCACCCTTTCTTGGGTGGGGGATTAGTGGGTCTCATGACCTGATGATGTCTTGAATAAACACAAACCCTAAAGTATTTTTAGGGAGATTGTGGTAAGTATAATATAAATGAGCAAAGTTGTATCCCTTCAACATTGCATTGCATTACATAACATTTTAAAATATGGAGTGAGAAAGCAGAAAGGTGTGGGTGATTAGAGAGATGGATTGGTAACATGCACCAGTGTTGCCAAGCGATAAGCTCCTCACCAGCTGATCTTTTAATTCGCCTCCATGCAATCACACAACAAGACCCTCATTGGTTGCTTGTTGTCTTAATTCTGGTGTGTGTTTTGAGCTTGCCAAGCACATTGTAGGATTTGAAGAAGTTAATGAGGAGTTTGTTCAGGAGTCAGGTGGTGTGGTGACATGCCAAGACACTTATCACAGCACACACATTAACAGCACTAGGAAACCATTGTCTTATAACATTTTACATTATAATTTCTATTTAAAAATTAATTGATACATGATGGCTCGATAGGGCTACTTCTGCACTTAGACAACTGATCAATGAATAAACCAGGGCATATGGAGACTCATTATACATAAGTAATGTCACAAAGCTTTGAAACTGCAACCACATAAATCATCACAACCTGTACTCAAATGTACTAAGTTAATTACTAAATTATTATGTATGGTGCAAAATAAGGGATGTTTACACTCAAATTAATTGCCATCTTACAAGAATTTCAGCACTGCACGTTATATTCTCCTAAGTCAAGTCAGTGATATTTTATAAACGAAAAATATAAAACCTTTCATAATCCTTGAGTGAGCATTAATTTCCCCTTCTGGCTGTTGACACCCCACCTCCTCCTCCCAGCCAGATGGAGAAGGGTCTATGGGGGGGGTAAAAGTATCTGCCCCCACCACCCAAAAAAAACCCCGACCAATTCCCATGTGTGTGTGTGGTTGTGTGAAGTATGTGTGTGTGGAGTATGTGTGTATGGTTGTGTGTACAGTATATGTGGAGTTGTGTGTGTGGTGCAAAATAAGTGATGTTTATACTCAAAATAATTGCTATCTTACAAGAATTTCAGCAATACAAGTTATATTCTCGTAAGTCAAGTCAGTGACATTTTATAAGCATTAATCTATCCTCCGTGGGGGGGGGGGTAAAAGTGACACACGCCACCTCCCTCCCACAAGGGTCGTCTCCTGTTTGCCTACTGTACTGACTCATTCATGATACACTATTGTTTATTTGTTTTTCATTAATTAGTGCAGATACATTACAGTGGTCCCTCTGTTAACGAACACAATTCATTCCACAGAGTCGTTCGTTAACCGAAAATTTCATTAACTGAATATTATTTCAAGGGGATATTGGGTAATTGGTTCCAACTCACAGAAAAAGTATACATACAAAGTACTGTATACCGGTAATAGAATTAACAAAACATTAAATATAAACTAAGTACAGTACTGTACTGTACAGTATACTGTACAATAATAAATAAAAAACAACAGCATACTGTAGTTTAACTTACTTTGAGGTGTGTATGTCGTATTCCCGGCAGCCTTGTTTACATATCAAACATCTGATTGTAGAGGCAGTCGATGATGACATGCCATATTCATTACATAGTGCATTGGTTCTAACGCCTTCTTCGTGTTTCATAATAATTTCTGCACCGTATATTATCAATATGTTAACTAAATTTCAGAATGACCAATAATTTTAATGTAAAAATGCAAAATATTCAAGAGACCAACAAAATGGATGTTCACTCCACTGTAAACAAAGTTAAACTGAGAAGTGTTGTTGGGTGATTCAATCAGCTGAAGGGCACACAAAAACTGTTCCCTGTACTGTATATATTATCACTATGTTAACTAAGTTTCAGAATGACCAATAATTTTAATATAAAAAATGCAGAAATATTCAAGAGACCAACTTTCTTGACATTTACTCCACTGGAAACGAATGTAAACATAGAACTTTTGAATTGAATTGAATTGAAACATTTTATTTAGCCAGAAAAATACAGATACAGAGTGGATAGAAATAACAATATTAACATGGCTGAGCCAGTTGAGAACCTGAGCTCTCTTTGAGGCACCTGATATATACTATACATTTATCTC